AGCAGCACTGTCACATAGAACTTTCTGCAGTGGTGGAAATGTCCTATATCTGCATGGTCCAAAATGGCAGCCATAGGACCCATGTGACTGCTGAGCATGTGAAATGTGGCTAGCGCATCTAAGGAACTGAATATAAAATTTTCTTTTGATTAACTTAAAGTTAAAGGTTAAATAGCCACACATGGCTAGTGGCCACCTTATTAGATGACACGTTTCTAGACTTTCACTGTTCTCATGTTTGGATGGACATTCTGACTTTTTAAGCCACTGCAGGTTACTTGAAGGGGTTTTGTTTTTAAATTTTTTTTAATGTTTTATTTATTTCTAGGAGAGAGAGAGAGAGACAGCGTGAGCAGGGGAGGGTCAGAGAGAGAGGGAGTCACAGACTGAAACAGCCTCCAGGCTCTGAGCTGGCAGTCAGCACAGAGCCCGACGCGGGTCCCGAACCCACGAACCGCGAGATCATGACCCAAGCGAAAGTCGGACACTTAACCGACTAAGCCACCCAGGCGCCCCGAAGGGGCTTTGTTTTTAATTTTAGCCTCCAAAGTTTGTGTGGGTCATTATGGACAAAACAATTAAGATGCTTATGTTGGGTAATTGCCTTCACACCTGAGGGTACCGTGCTTTCTGGGAGGTTCAGGTGATCTCGCTGGTCAACACCCCACTGAGCCAGGCCTAGAGAAGAGCCAGTTGCTGCTGGTATCAGGTTTCCTGCCTCGTTCCAATGTAACATTGGGTCCTCGTGACCTGGAATCTAAATATTTAGTTGGTGGTTGCTGATGGTAAAGGACAATAATCTTGTTCCTATTAGCAAAGCAAACAGTACTCTCGAAAAACTGAGAGCTGGGTGGTCTCCACCTTCTTTGCTGACAAAATAAATGCAGTGATGACCCATCCTAAGTCCTTGAGGTTTGTGCATTTGGACCAGTGTCCCTTCCAGCAAGGATAGAAGATGAGAAATGCTCACAATGTCCCTTTTCATAGAAGGTTGCCACCCGCGAAGTCCTGGGCTTATCATTTTCATCATTGTCTCTGGGGAAATCAGGGCTCCTGTTTGAGAAGGCTACATAACCTCCCAATCACAGCAGGGAATGATCCAGGCAATGTGTCCCCCTCGAGGCCAGCAGCTGTCCTGGGGACACTGTTTCCTGCTCGTACCGAGAGACTGCTTTGCTTTTTAGTCTGCTGCTCATTCAGTTCTTTCTTGACTCTGTGGAGCTGTTATTTATTCTGCTTAAATAGTTAACAAGGTTGCATGTAACTTTGAAAAGGGTCTAAAATTAAGTTGCCACATTAGGGTGGCTTTTAGTAATGTAGCCTAGGATTGGGCCGAGGCAAAAGAATGTATTCTAGAATTCTCAGAACCCAATACCTATTGGAGCACCGTTTGTAAGAACAGCTGGACACCAAGGCGATTTATAATGTAATCAAATGTTAGTCTGAACCCAAGAGTCTCACTTGTTCTTGTGTTGATCCCACAAGATAAGCATTAATAGTAAGTACCTCCGTGATGGGAAATTGAAGTGCTTAGTGGTTTGTCTGAATTCACACTGTAATGAGGGACAGAGATGGCCCTTGACAATAAGTGTTCTTTCTACTATGCCACACCATTAACTAAAATGTATTTAGGAGGTACCACTTTAAAGAACATCTCAGCACAAGCTGGATGGTTATTGCTTTACCTTGGATTTAGATGTAACACAACCTCTGCCCAAGGCACAGTTAAAGTCACTGGTCGTGGTGAGGCAATTGTGCGGAATGGTGTGGCCACCACATTTGGAGATCTGCCCCCTGCTAGGCAGGTGTCTGAAAATGATGGCTTGATACTGAATCTGTTACTTGATGGTAAATGTCTCACTTATTAACCAGGTTCATCAGAATTGTGACTGTCTGAGGCTGGGCCAAGGGAGGAACGAATGATAGAAGTTGCAACACAAGCGTCAAAATATGGTGGTGGCGCGCTTCACATATTGACTGTGTGGTGGAAAACTTCCTGTGGATTAAGCAGTCCACTTTCCTACCACCAGCTCAGTCAGAACAAATTTTCCTTCAGAAATCAGAGGCAAAGCGTTCCTTGGAGTTTTCAGCCACAGGTGTCTTCGGGGAATGTTTACCCGTGGAGGAGGGCTTTGGTCGGGTTTACATCTACCTGTGGCGCTGTATCTTTCTCCTGGTCTTTTCTCTTTGGCCAATGATCATTTGCAACTCTAATCATCTGATGTCTGATCCACCGAGCTCTGGAATGTTCTTATATCCTTCTCCAGGAGACCTCCCTGGCACTGAGGGCCCTGGAGAAAGGGGTTTGGTAAGTTCTGTCTGCCCTCAGGATTCAAGATACAGCAGGGCAGGCTCAGACCATGAAGGTTTAAGAACAGCCAGATTTTCATAGAAATTTGGGTAGAAGTCCAAACTTGGGAGGAGAATGCTCCAAACCAACCCATGATCCTGGGGGTTGAAGAGTTCTGGATATGGTTTGTCTCATGAGGGATCTCTGGCTTCACTTGTACCAAGCAAAAGTGAAAGGATTCAACTGGGGGTGGAGTCACCATTAGGAGCACACAAGTCATATGACTGTTGGGTGATGCTTTCAGTGACATTTTTGCTCCCCTGCCCTTCCTGTGCTTTTGTATCCGGGGGCAAATTCTCCAGTATCCCCCAAAGAATACCCGTAATATAGACAGCAAAGCAGGGGTGAGTTTCACTGTGGAAAATTTTGATTTTGTCATTCTTCTTGGTAGAGAAGATGTGACCTTGAAGGCACTTGTATAACCAAGGCCCAAACCCTTGGGATATCACTAGCTGGAAAAAACACGTGAGGGTACTTAAGTAATGTTGTTTTGGGTTTTCTGGCAGATTGAGGTACAGTGACATAGTGCAACATGAAAAATACTGTTCTTATTCTTTAGAAATTGCCAGCTTTATGAATTTTACCACATATTTTCATCCTCATTTCATAATTACTTTTATATTTATAACCATATCCTTTATTAGATGTGGTCTAAGCATTTTGCCATGATTTAAAGAATGAATAATTTTTTATAGCATAAAGAAGAAAACTACAGAAATCTGCCACCAGCCTGTCCCCCAAACAAAGTTTATGGAGAGGAGCATAAAACTGCTAGTCTTAGAATACCCAAATGTGTGAGCACTGCCATACGAAATGGCGACGGCCATGCACGTGAGGTTTTGCATGAAAACAGAAGAACCCAGCTGCCCGTTTCTTTACCAATCTAGGAAGATTGCTGCATGCTACCATTCGACTTAAATTGCATTTTTTCCTATCAGTCCTTGAGTTTTGTTTCTAAGAGCAAAAACCGTGAGAATTTATCTTAATGCATTTAAAAATGTGTTGTTTGAGCTAACTAGATTTAATTTTTGGATTAATCTCACTCCCTAAATTCAATCAGCAGCAGGCATTATATTTAGTCTTTGACTAACAGGGAGCAATCCAGGTGATGTGTTCTTCTTGATGCTGCCAATATTAGAAGATAGTCTCTCTCACCTTCAGGCTCTAGGTGGAATATTTGTGTGATTTTACGTTCCTTAATAGGGAGTATAGGTCTCACCCAGGGACACATCTACATCCATATACATCAATCATTGATGTTTCTGAGGTATCCTTTGAACATTAAATAACCGCACTGTGAACATCCTAGATTAAGGAAGAAATCCCAACAAGAACTTGATTGATATCAGGTATCCAAGATCTATCTCAGGGATCCACACCGCTGATAGAAAGTGAGAGTCCATCCTCTAGAGTATATTGCAGGCATAAAATATTAAATAAGAATTCATAAAAGGCGTATTACTCATCTTAAATCAATTCGCCATGCTAACAAACGGGTATTGAATGCAGCCTGCGGTATTTGGTGCTTACATAGGATAAGTAAAATTCTTACTCGGATAAGATCTTAAACATGAAATATGGTCGTATAGTTGAGTGGTTCAGAGCACCTTCCCTGGGGTTGGGCTCCCTGGAAAGCAACTCCGACTCCACCACATACTGGCTATGGAGTCTTAGGTCAAATTTCTTGTCTTTTCTAAGGCTCAGTTTCTCATTTGTGAAGTGAGGTAAATATATAGAGATTTATGAGAATCAAATAAGCTAATATGTATCAAATGTTTAGCTCAGTGCTGGAATACTGCAACCACTCAAATGATGGTGATGAGGATGGCAAGTATTATCATTATCTTATCACTATTATATGGATCTTATTCTTTTTCATTATTATCCAGACAGAAATATTTGAACACTTTCTGGTTATGACAGGATGCAGTTATTACTACATTTTAACTCTATTTGAAAGACCAGACTAAGCAATGCAATGAGTTAGACTATAAGTCTATATACAAATAAGATACATCTTTATACCCATATCTCTCTTTGGCTGTGGTTATATGGATGGACCGATCAGGTAGACATAGGTGCAGATGTACAGACAGAGAGAGGATGCTGTGCTTTAGAAGGCCCAGTGCCTCAACTCTTGAAATGAAAGAGTTGTAGCGTTTCTGATTTGGATGGTGCCTCAGAGACCATCTCCATCAGACCCATCAGGAAAGAAGAGCTAGGCCCAAATGGGGTGAAAGGGGGACAGTCACATAGCAGAGGAGTGGCCTGGGCTCCCCTGCCTCTCTCTGCCCTGAACTGTAGGATTCTTTTATTTGTTTGTTTGTTTATGAGAGAGGGTGCGCATGAACATGAGCAGGGGAGGGGCAGAGAGAAAGGGAGACAGATGATCTGAAGCAGGCTCTGTGCTGACAGCAGAGAGCCCGATGTGGGGCTTGAACTTACGACCTGTGAGATCATGACCTGAGCTGATCAGGTCAGTCCAACTGACTGACCCCCCAGGCGCCCTGACTTTCAGGATTCTACACCTCCTTTTGAACTTGGCTTTTTCCTAAGTGACATATGCATGTGTATGCACGTGTGTACACACACACACACACACACACAGCAGCAGCAGCAGCAGCAGCAGCAGCAGGAGAGTTCTAAGTACCTGTTTGGCAGATGACCCACTTGAAAACCTGGGTCTCTCCAAATCTGCCTCTTGCCCCCCAAATCGATCCCGTTTCTTCTCATTTGGGTCTCTTCTGTGTTCTTGTTGTCTCAGACAAGCCTGCAGAATTAAAAACAAAAGGTTTATTTGGCTTAGCTCTGCGACAAACTTTCATGACTTTTTGCTTAATTCCTGTCGTGAGAAACATGAAATACACAATGTCCAGCTTCACGGGCTCATCAGCACATTTACCAAGTGTGAAGACACTCAGCTAGGCGTCAACGACTCTCTTCCCTTGGCCCCAAAATGCCAGGTCAAAAATAGTCAGCACTGCCTTAATAAGTTACAATGACAAACACACTAAGAGGCGTTTTGACAAGTATGTCCCCAACAATTGCCTCCTTAAGTCAGGAAGTACCTGAAAGGCAACATTCACTTCCCCTCTGCTCTCATTCTCTTCAAAGCTCCGTGCATTCCAGCGGGGGCTCTCTGTCCCCCTGGATGATTCCCGATTCTGGGGTCAGACTCTTCCTACCTGAGAGCTTTCGCACACGTCTTTCCTTCTACCTGGAATGCCTTTCACGAGGCGTTCACAGCTCAGCAAATCTGTGGATCTACTAAGATCCAGCTAGAGAGACATCTCTTGTCTTGCCAAGCTTTTCTTCCCCAGGCTGAATTAATTGCTCCTTTATATATACACAGCTGGAATTATGCAATTTTCTTTTTCGCTGTTGTATTTAGTTGCTTTGTTTTGAGCCCATGTCTCCTGCTGATCAGTGAGGACCCCTCAGGGTAACGACCACTTTTTACCTTTAGAATCTCCCCCAGCGTCTAGCATTTAAGGTTAGCTGAGCTGCATTATTGTTTCAGAAGGAAAGATCAGTCTCTGAATGCAAAATAATAAAAATAAAATAACCAACCAAAAAAAATCTCTATTTTTAAAAAAACAAAATTAAGAGAAAAAACTAGTACCAAAATATTTCTTCTCCAGTATCAGGACTGAACAAACCCCAAGGATATCATGTGCTATATGGGGGGTTTCAAGTGATATTTTAAATAGTTTAAAATAGGAATACTTCTTGGAGCATTTCTATAGATCCAGTGCCCAGATTCACCTTTGCGCAGTTAGAGCCAAATTATCCCCTGTCATGGTAAAGAAATGCAATGTAAAGACCTGACAATACTGTTTCTAAACAGGGCCTGACATCTCCCCTTCCTGGCAGGGCTGAGAAAGGAAAGATTCCTTCCACATTTTCCCCCTTTGTTAGAACATGCATCCCCTTCCTTGATGGGGAAGGACGTGCCAGAATTCCACACCACTGGGAAAGCCTAATATCATGCTCCATGGTTAAAAATAGAACTGACCTGATATTAACAAAACATTTACCACTTGGAATTGGGAACAGCAAGTTGGTTACATTGTGCCTCACAATTGCTGGTGAGGCACTGGCCCTGGGGACCCACGCACCATGGCCAGGTGGTTGATGCAGCAAGTGGAATCCTGGATTCCCAGGGCTATGGTTCCACCCTGCCTTATTTGGGAAGGGAGAGCACTCCAAAATGGTTGCTGCTTTTTTTTTGTTTTCTGTCTCACTGTTAATCTTATTTTCAAAAACTATGCTATCTAGATTGCAAGCCCTTTTAATAAATCTTGTGCAGTGTTTGTTTTAATCAATAATTGAAGCAGGAAAACCCCCTGAATACTGGACAGCAACTATAATAAGTGAAACAAACACCGAGTAATAAAAGAAACCAAGGTAAACCTAAAGAGAGTTAGCCAGAGAGTTCAGTGACGTGTAAGTAAATATGGGCCTCTTCTTTTCCATTCCTTTGACAATGACTTCAGATTGGAGCCCGGTTGGGAGGAGCCCTGGCTCCCAGTGCTGTTTCCTGGAGCGGCAGATGTCCGTGTTACCCTAACCGACTGGGATTAAAGGCACAAGAGGCAAATGCTGATAGGCTCAAAGTGCAGGACAGTGTTAGCAAATGCACGCAGGACCAAGGCAGATTTTGTGGGATGAACAGAATTCTTGTGGGTTGAGTGTTTTTTGAAAATTCTCTCCAAGAATGCATGCAACTTAAATATTTCTTTACCAAAAGGGGAGGAGGAGTAGAATGGTTTGCAATGTCAAAAAAACAAATTCTTTTTTTTCTCCCTCTGGTTTCTTAAGCCTCCTCTCACAGAGGAGCCGGAGAACAAACGAGCATCGGGGTAGGTACTTCCTCATTTTTATCTTGATACAGCCCATCAATCTTTCTGTGTAAATCAAGCATTAGTATTAGTTCTCTCAAAGTTATAGCTTTGCTGAGTTGAAGGGACCTAAGGACAGAGAGGCAAGTCCAGACTTCCAGTCCTAGAAATAGTGAGAACCTAGCTGTAACTGCCCCCATGTCCCCCAGGGGCTGGTTTTCTTGTTGTTTGCTTTTTCTCTTTTGTTAATGTTTATTTATTTTTGAGAGAGAGAGAGAGAGAGAGAGAGAGAGAGAGAGAGTGTGTGTGTGTGTGTGCATGTGTGTGTGAGCCAGGGAGGGGTAGAGAGAGGGAGACAGAATGGGAAGCAGGCTCCAGGCTCTGAGCTGTCAGCACAGAGCCCGATGAGGGGCTTCAACTCACGAACTGGGAGATCAGGACCTGAGCTGAAGTCTGACACTTAACTGACTGAGCCACCCAGGCGCCCCTGGTTTTCTTGTTATTTGTAAACGTGAATGATTGTTGTTGTTGTTGTTGATGATGATGGTGTTGTTTACTCTTTGGGGGTCCTGGAGCGCCAAGGGCAGAGTGGGAAACCCGTAGGATGGGGAGGTTGAACAGATTTGTAACTCATGATCACCAGGGGCTCCCCTTCCTCTGGAACTTTAAAAATATTCCCCTTCCAGTTCCACATGTCTGGAGCCAGATTGCTATAAATAAGTTTCTGTTCATGTGACAGAGCTGGCTGAGGGCAGTCTTAAAATGGAAGGCTTCAGGTAACTCCTCATTTCCTCCTTGGGTTGGAGCAGCTTCCTCCTCTGCTTTTCCTCTGGTGTAGCAGCCCCCCAACCCCCCCCCCAGCCCACCCCTGGGACTGCAGGCACGCACAGAGCACAAGTTACCACTGTGGGGGCAGAACGCAGAATGTGCACATGTGCCGTGGGGCATGACGTGGTTTCTGTGACTCACAGTAACTCAATACGGTAAACACGACAGACCCAGGCTCTGAGACTTTCTTGCAACGTGACCTTGGGCAGGCTGACTAACTCCGTTGATTCTTGCTTCCCTCATCCCTACGGGGAGATCCCCTATGCCGCCAGACTGCTGGAGAGCCCGGGGCCCTGCTGGCAGGGTGCTCCGCAGAGCCAGTGGCTTGGGGAGTGTTCAGTGACAGGCACTCGTCACCACCGTTGTCACTGTCATTAGCATTGTCGGGCTTTAATTGTCGTTTCTGATTCCATTTCTTGGTTTACTTCAATTTCTAAAGTCAGCCTTTGCCAAATCAAGTGACTGATTCTGGTCGGGGAAGAAGAAAGGGTCTTTCTGTCCGGGCCTGAGGTTCATCCTTGTTTTTGTGCCCTGGGAGCAGAGGTCTGTTTCCTGAGCCAGCAGTTCGCCCGCCAGACAACTGAGGAAATCCCGCTGTCTGTCAGTCAGGCTGCCTCGGAAACTACTTTTTCTTCAGTGTTAACAGCTTCCTTCCTTCCTTCCTTCCTTCCTTCCTTCCTTCCTTCCTTCCTTCCTTCCTTCCTTCCTTCCTTCCTCCCTCCCTTCCTCCCTCCCTCTCTCATTTTCTTTCTTTCTAAGTGTATTTATTTTGAGAGAGAGCGAGCGAGCATGAGCAGAGAGAAGGGAGAGAGCAAATCCCAAGCAGGCTCTGCACTGTCAGCGCAGAGCCCTAGAATGCAGGGCTCTAACTCATGAACTGTGAGATCATGACCTGAGCCAAAATCGAGTCGGTTGTGTAGCCTACGGAACCACTCAAGACCCCCAAGTGTTAACAACTTCCTGAACCCACAGGGGTGCTCAGTTTCTCCATCAGTCCCTCCTATTTGCCATCCAAGCCACATACCCCAGGACCACTTCCCAGACTCCCAGTTCTGGTCTGGACCACCCCCCATCGCCCCCTCCCCTGCACCACAGTGCACCCCTGCCTCTTGAGCACAGCGGTCCCTGTCAAGGTTATTGTTGCTTGAAGTCTCCAAGCATTTTGAAAAGTGGGAATTGTCACTGCGTCAGTGGGTATGTTTTTGTTGTTCTTAAGATCTAACATTCGGGGATTTAATTATCATTGGGGGGCACTGTTCAAGCTCATTAGTTTTAAGAGGTTAAGAAATCCAAGGTGTAAAAACAATTTGACATGATATTCCCCTCAAAGGAGAATCTTTATCTGTTCTGTCCGTGAAGAGTATAGACACATGTACCCCATGTGTCTCATGTGAAGAGGCGAGCAGAGCAGAGAACCCCCCACCCCAGCTCCTATGGGAGAGGAAGCTGAATTATCTCTACTCCCTCAACCCCCTGAGTAGATGGTCCCCGAGCCCCCGGCACCTGATCTAGTCACCTAGCATATCCTTGAACAAGTTTATATCGTCATGTTGAGTTGTTTGCTCGGCACTTGAAAGATCAGGGTGAATAAATGACTGGAAATGAAACCCATCTGAACACATTTGATAGATTACAGAATATTGTTCTGAAATGCCAAGTGTAATCTTTCTCTCCAGCTTTCAGTAGAAGTTAATGGCTAAATTCTGCCTCAAGTTACATAAACACGTTTGACCAAAAGAAGGAAGGAAAAAAAAAACCCTGTGCAGCATGAACACCCTTGAAAAACTAAGAGCCAAATCCTGAGATGGCATGTAATTATGTACTAGTTACCAGATTCTGAAATAGCATGTAATATGCCAAATAGATGTTTATTTCCTCTTGTTTTCTTCAAAAGGGTCCCACCCAACCACTGAAAGGAGTAGCATCAAAATAACTCGGGGTGGGTTTAACCCACCTCTCCCGTTGCCAATACACAGACCTGTAAAGGCACTGCTAATTTGGTGCATACCAACCCTTAGCATATTTTAGGATGTAGCAGGAATAGTGCATACAGGAGGTTTCTGAGGGCTTCAATTTGAGCCAGTTCATTAAAGGCGAGGGA